CTTATGTATAAAGAAATTCTTCGAGGTCTATGAACTAGAGCACCAATTAATTAGATCACCCTAACTGTCAGGTAAAATATAGAAACCTGCAATATGTTGAACAAACAACCAAATATGAACACTAAAACTACATTTGAAGAATAGATGGTCTAAGGATTCATTATCAGCAAGGCAGAAGAAGCATGTGTTAAGAGAAAAGATGGTCCAAGGATTCATTATTAGCAAGGCAGAGGAAGCATGTGTTAACATAGTGTTTCTTCCTCCTTGGTTTTGAATCAAGAATATACAGCCTACCCCTGCAAAGAAGTCAGGCAATTACACTTTGCTTTGGAATGTTGTTCTTAAACCATACTAGATGAGACCATACAAAGGAGATTAAGGGTGGACTGAGGTACTTAATAGTATGTGATAATAGAACTGGATTGTGGGACTTGGTATCCAAATAACACTGTCCCTCTTAGTAAAGGGTAAGGGCAGGGCTTGCAATTGGGATATAAACAGTTGTGAATGGAAATCTGCCAATGTTGTAGTGATTGTGGAATTACCCACTGATTAATGGAAATTAGGTTATCAACTGTGATGCGAGGATCCAATTGAAGAATTTTCACATCAGATAGGTTAAGCTGTGAACAAAATGATCCATTTGGCAACCAATAATCAAGCCATATCATGGTATCAGTGCCTGCCCCAATTCTATGTTTTATTAATCCCCTAGCCATCCCTCTTACCTTAAACAACCTCCTCCAAAAACCTGAACTCAAAGAAGAAGGCTTAACAGTCCAAATGGATTTTGCCTTGACAAGGTATCTATGAGTCCATGCAACCCAAAGACTGTCCTTCCTAGTAAACAAATTCCATATATGTTTTAGACTTACAATTTAGTTGACCATCTCAAAGTTAGGAAAGCCTAAACCCCCCATACATTTTTGTCTACGTGCATAAACCCAAGTAATTTTTGCTCCCCTCTTCCTCATCTCAACACCAGACCAGAAGAAGTATCTGATAACATGATTAACTTGTTCAATCACTCCTTTTAGAAAAACAAATGTACGAGTCCAATAAGCACTGATGGAGCATAAAATTGTTTTAATGAGAACTGCCCTTCCAGCATAAGATAAGAATCTTGAGGTCCAATTCCCTATTCTAGCTGTAATCCTTTGTACTAGGGTTTGGCAAACCCTAGCATTGATTGAGGTTGATGAGAGTGGCAATCTAAGGTATGTGACTGGGAGAGAACCAGCATTACATTGCAACAAGGATAGAATAGCTGCCTTTGTATTATTTTCCACCCCTGTGAAGAAGATAGAACTTTTGATGCAATTAATTGAGAGTCCTGAGCAAGTGAAGAACCTTTCCATGGCTGAGACTTAGACTTGAACTGAAACAAGATTTCCATGTGAGAATAAAAGTACATCATCAGCAAACACTGAGTGTGTTAGGGACAATTTGTTGCATCTCCAATGGAACTTAAATATAGGATTTTGTATAATGGCATTGTTAATAGACAAAGTAAAGGCCTTCATAGCAATGACAAATAGCATAAGGGATATGGGATCTCCTTGTCTAAGGCCCCTTTTCCCTATAAAGAATCCAAACAATTCACCATTCAAGGATAGGGAATAAGAGGGTGTGGTGATACATTGTGCAATCCAATGGACAAACAAACTTGGGAAACCAAACTGTAATACCCCTAATTTTAAAAGGATAGTCTCGGTATTTATTTTATGGTTTTATTGCATTTTAAAATTCATTATTTGATTATTTGGTTTTTGTTTAATTGTTTACGTGAATTATTTGATTATTTAGTTATTTGGTTAATTGTTTAATTGTTTACGTGAATTATTTGTGTTCATTTAATTGTTTAATTATTTACGGGAATTATTTGTGTTCATTTAAATTGTATACTTATGTGGAAATTAAACTAATTGTTTATGTGTTAAGTGTTTAGTTGTAATTAAATATTTAGATTCGATGTGCATTTTATTTTAAGGAGTTGGGCTTGGATAGTAGTAGTGAACCAACGATTTTGGTCACATGGATTACTTGGATAGGAGGTTAAATGGGTACAGTTAATACCTATGGATGATTATACATATATATATGGCTATATATATATATATATATATATATATATATATATATAAGGTTAGTTTAATTATTAATTATTATTAATGATTAAATTAGTATTATTATTCATTATAAATGTATTATATAGTTTTAGGATTTTATATATTTTTATGAAATCACGCTGTGGGTAGCTGACTTATATACATATAGTTTTTCTATATTATATTTTTCTTTTCTTTTTCTTTTTCGTCTCCTCGTATAACTTGAATTAGGGTTTTTTTGTATAAGCCTATATATATATATATATATATATATATCATTATGTGTTTGCCAAGGGTTAAAAATCCTATTCACGTACACACAGAGGTTGAGTGCTATACAGAGAGGTTGGAGAGAAAACTGAGAGAACAAGTTAGGGTTTTAGCTATAGATTAAAGGTCGGACCAAGGAGGAAGGAAGAGGACTACTTGTGGGTTGAACCAGGAGCGGTAGGGAAGTTGAGAACAGTCAAGAAATTGTCGGAAATCTAGGAAGACGACGTTGAGATTTTAGTCTGAAATCTCAAAGGCAAGTTCTATATCTTACTCCTTCCCTTAGACTTGTGTTCTGTGCATGCCTAGATAATCTCCAAGATTTAATTGGACACTAAAAATCGATCTTATATGCCTATTAATTCAGAGTTTTAACTGTATTATGTGTTGTAAATTGAAATTGATTTATCTTATCAATTGTTGCATCTTTTATATTTTTAATTATTGTTAATGATGCATACTGAGTTTTTATGAGTTTCTGGAATAAATTCGGGACATACGGGACATAGATTGAACTCCTAGGAACCTTAACAAAGAGTTACAGAGGTGGGTTAACATCGCTGGAGGCGAATAAGATAAAGGGGTTCAGGTTACGGCTCTATGGGATAGAGAAAGCCGACTTTCCAAATGAGGGAGTCGGCTTCAGGAGAGAGAGAGTCGGCTCTCCATGAGGGAGAGCCTGCTTCATAAGGAGTATAGCTGGCTTTCCAAAGGGGAAAGCCGGCTCCACAAAGGGATGAGTTGGCTCTCTCTTTGGGAGAGACGACTCCCGTTCTGGCAGTGCACCTACGGGTGTATATTTGGTATTTCTGGAACTTCAGGGGCTGAAATGTGGTTCTGGACTTTAATAGGGGGTTTTAAATGATCTAAATTAACATGTTACAATCCCAGGATTGTTAGTCTATGCTATTATGCTAAAGTATTGGACATCATGAAATTTAAATACTAATTTGCATGATGTCAATGGAAATGGAAGATTTAATTGCTAATTGTTTGTTGTTGTTCTAGCAAGTTAAATGGATCAGTATGATTATACTCTTGCGTAATTCAATATGGTTGCTCAATTAGTTATCTGATTTACATTATATCATTCTTTGGATTATAATTGATAAATTACTTATTTATGTTTTATCAATTATTGGATTCTTTTGCGAATTATATGCACCGGTATGGGACGGTGGCATATTAGGGATGGATTAGTTCAAAACGCTAATCCTAACTATTCTGGAATAAGGGAATGGATTAACTATAAAAGTTAAGTCCTACTTATATTTGTCTTAGGTCAATTAACAGTTGAATGACACACCTTGGTTTTGGATGGATTTATATATATAGATGATTATGGTACCGTGATATGAGCTTGAGTCTCAGGATCGTGATTACGTATATTGCCTAGGATAGATAACTGGACATAGTAGACATCTGGGTACCATGATAGGTCTAGGTACACATGCTCACTTTACGTGCGATTTGCATGTTACCTTCTATTTAGGTTGAGACAGACCTATGGGCTAGCAAGTGTCCTATAGTGTGTATTTATGTATATGTATGGATTATTTAGCTATTGTTGAGTTGTCTAGGATGTATCTGCGTATCAGGTCTTTGTTTGGATTGTTGTAGATTAGAACTTGTTCGTGAGCCTGACCCACTATTATTTTTCAGATATCGGACGGTCTCAGTCTTAGAACTTGTTCGTGCTAAGTAGAGATAGTCACTTACTCTTCCGACTACGTAGGACTTTTATTTATGTTTTAGTTTTGGTTTTTCTTTTTAGTTCGGTTTTATTTTCTAGCTGGGATATTATTTAAGGATCCACTAGATGGATTCTCGAGTTGCAATAATATTGGAGGTTTTGGAATTATTGGTTTATTTAATTAGTATTTCCAAGATTATTATTTAGATTCTTTTTAGCTTAATTATTTATTCATAAATTCTTTCTTGTACTCAATGCTTGTTTATATACTTAATTGTTTGGTATCCCTTAGATCTGTACTCCGACTTGATCACCCGTGGCCTTAGAATCGAGGGGTATCACACAAACACTGAGAGAGCATCAAGTATAAATTGCCAATGGACTGAATCAAAAGCCTTCTTAAGGTCCACTTTAATAGTGCAGTTGGGAGTATATGAGGTTCTATGGTACCCATTGAGAAGTTCATGTGCCATTAAAATGTTGTCAGTGATGCTTCTTCTCATTACAAAAGCATTCTGGTTGTTACTTATGATTAAAGGAAGGGCAAGGCTGAGCTTGGTAGCTAGAAGCTTAGATATGCACTTATATAAGAGGTTGCAATAGGATATAGGCCTGAAATCATTGACATAAGTTGGATTGGCTGTTTTGGGAACCAAAGTAATATAGGAGCAATTAACCTTAAAGAACATCCTACTAGAAGTGAAGAAATCCTTAACTGCACCAATAATATCATTTCCTATGATACTCCAAGCATGTTTGAAGAAGCAAAGGATACACTTCTGGATTTCCAAGTCTGTGGGAATAGCACTGAGGGATAGTAGTAGATGAGTTGGGACTGTCTTGGAGATCAAATTAGAGAAGTAAGACATACCTGGGTAAGCAAAAGAACACTGGCCCAAGAGATTTTGGAAATGGTTGAGCAAAGCATTTTACGACTCCTGGCTTTGTAACACTTCTCCATTAGGATCCTCAAGGGATAACACCTTCCTCCTATTAGCTTTGGATGAGAAAACCTTCATGAAATAGGATGTGTTTTGATCCCCATCCTTTAACCAATGAATTTGTGCTTTTTGTTTATAAAAGATTTCCTCAGCAAGACACAATGTAGAGAATTTGGCTGCAAGTTCTTTCTCTACAACCCTCAACTGGTCATCTGCAGGATTACAATCTAAGCTTTGTTGACACTGATACAGCTCACTTCTATATTCTTCAACTCTTTTTGATATAGCGCCAAAATCATTTATGTTTAAAAGCCTTAGTGGAAGCTTAAGGGCCCTAAGCCTCTTAACCACACAATACATCTTTGTGCCAATCACCTCCAGTTGCCAACCTTGAGCCACAAACTTAGGGTTTAGAGTCCAAAAATTAAAGAATCTAAATGGGAGATTTCTCTTAAGAGAGGTAATCCTAATCCTAACCACCATGGGAGAATGATCCGAGATCCTATGTGGTAAGAAATTGCATTCTGCTTGTGGAAACATATTCATCCATGCTTGGTTGATCAAAACTCTATCCAGCTTCCTAGATACATTAGCACACCCAAGACTGTTATTTGACCAACTGAAGAAAATCCCATTATACCTCAAGTCCTCAAGCTCATTGCTGTGTAGACATTGCATAAACTCAAGCATACCCTCAGTCCACCTTAAAGTATTCCCAAAAGATTCGTTCACATGGAGTAAAAAATTGAAATCACCCAATAAAATCTAAGGCATACTAGGGTCACATTGCTGACTAATACTTCTCCAGAGGGTTATTCTCTCAAGCGCAGTATTGAAAACATAGACAAAAGTTGCCTTACATTTAACCTTAAGGTCCTTTAGAAAGAGATGGCAATGTATGGCTTGACTAGTTTCAAAGGAAAATAATAAGGACAACACTGCAGGGTTCCTGTAATACCCCTAATTTTAAAAGGATAGTTTCAGCATTTTAATTATTGTTTTATTGCATTTTTGTGTGACTATTTGCTTATTTGTTTAATTATTTTAATTAGTTATTTGATTTCTTGTTTTCTTTAATTGAATTGTTTTATTTAATTGTCTTTTGTATTTTTTGTATTTTCTTTAATTGGATTAAATTTGTGCAATTAGATTAAATTAGTAACAGTTATAATGTATGAAATTAATAACAGGTATAGTGTTAAACAGTAGGGTTTTCTAAGAAGTTACATATATATAGCCGACGTATATTATAACTTACGTTGTTTTGTGGGCCGACTAAGATTTATATTAGGGCTCTGTCTCTAATTATACAAGGATCAGGATTTTAGTGTTAAGCCTATAAATACACCATTACGTTTTAGTTTAGGGTTTTCAAATTATAAAGTTATTTCATAAAACAAAGGGTTGAGATAATGAAGGCACCGTAAGGGCTGTAAAGGAGAGGAACAGAGAGGACCAAGGGAGTGATGTGGTGGATTAAACCAGAACCATAGAAGGCTTGAAGGTATTCAGTGGTTGTCGAAAATTTAGAAACGACGCCGAGATTTCATAACTGAAATCACATGCAAGTTCTTTTCTTCCTCTTTCCCGTTGGCTTGTGTTCTGTGCACCGAAATAGCCTCTAGGAGATTAATTGAACCATGCATGATTATTATATGTTATATTTGATAATCTGTTATATGTGAAATTTATCTAAAATAATTCTATCATGTATGGTTTTATCGTCTGTTTCTTTAGCATAAAAGTCGCCTTTTTTTTTTTAATCTTTGTATTGAGTCTTACTGTTATAAACTGTAATACCCCCTAATTTTAAAAGGCTATTCCTGGAATTTAATTTATGGTTTATTTGCATTTTGTTTACTTATTTGCGTAATAATTTTATTTAATTAAGGTTTATTTGTTTAATTAGTCATGTTACTTAATTAATTGTTTTTGGTAATTGTTTATTTAATTTTTTTATTTAATTATTTAATCATTTTTATTTAATGAAAATTTAAATTTAAGGGAATTTAGTTTTTCTGTTCTCTACGTGAATTTAGGTTTGCAATTCACATGGGTGGCCGACGTAGATATTTATCCTAGGTTGGTTTATGGGCCGAGATGGGCTCTGGCTTTAAGGTTACAAGGATTAGGGTTTAGAGTTAAGCTTATAAATATATTACGTGCGGTACGCTTAGGGTTTTTGGATTCATAGCAGTTAACTCGGAGACGTGAATTGAGTTCTGTGAAAGACACAGAAACTGTGAGGTACAGATGGAGAACAGAGGAAGATAGGAGGTGTCTCTGGGTTGAACCAAGTTACTGGGGAAGCAGACTTGCAGTGTAGGACACAAACATATCATCACAGAAGCTGAGAATTTAGAGTTTCAAGTCTGAAACTCAAAGGCAAGTTCTTTTCTTTCTTTTTCCCTTTGCCTGTGTTCTGTGCACCTAGGTGGCCTCTAGGATTTAATTAAGAATTAACTGAGTTTCTTATGTATATTTGATGGTATATCAATGTTCTATATGTGTGAAAATTTATTCAGTTATAGTTTGTGCGTGTCTGTGATTTATTTGTTTCTTGAAGTATGAAAAATCTGATGAATCTGTAGCCTCCGTTTTTGTATTTTACTGTTGTAAACACATCTTGGGAATGATACTGGACTTAGATGGAACTCTTAGGATCAGTTTAAAACCAACTAGACAGGTTGTGAATGGCCAGAAACACTGCAGAAAGTTGTAAGAGCAACAGAGGTTGAAGGAGGCTCGAGGAGGAGGAGAGAGCCGGCTCTGGAATACAAAGAGCTGGCTCCCCCATCAAAGAGTCGGCTCTAGGAGAGGTAGAGCTGGCTCTACCCTCCTTAGAGGCGGCTCTAGGAATTCCAAGAGCCTGCTCTTTCAAAGGTAGAGCAGGCTCTCTCTCAAACTTTGTTCTGAAGTTGAATTTTAATGAGCTGTTTGGAATTTTGAGGGTCTGAACTATGTCTAAAAATTCTGGGACTTTTCAGTAAGACTAAGAACCTAATTTTAAGTGCTAATAGGATCCTTGATTGATCAAAGCTTGCCTCTGAATTAACAGAACAAATTGTAGAAAAGGTTATATACATTGAATACGATTAACCGACGGAAGGAGACTTAGTTGCTTAGGCTAAACTTTGTGAATCCAGTGGATTAACATGAACTTATATGTTGATTCTAAATGCATGTTAGGGTTATCTGTTTAATAAATGTGTTATATGCATGCTCTGGACATTAATGGTTGATAAATTTAAATCTTTTCTGCAATTAACTGAATTTTTGCTCGGATTTAAATTGCTAGAATATAAACTGTTTTTCTGCAATTACATGGATGAGGATTTGAACTGTAAATCACTTAATAATTGTTTATAGGTTATAATCTGCATGATTATGGAGGATTGTATGCACTGGTATGGGACGGTGGCATACTAGGGGATGGTTTAGCTTAAAAAACGCTAACCTAACCTACCGGATGGAAAGTATGGATTGTAAAATATTGAATCCATTACTGTGTGGAGTTGAATCAACTGACTAGATTGAATGACTCCTTGGATTATTTGGTTGTGGTTAAGTCACTTCAACTGAATAAGTTGAGTGCTTATCTGGACGGTATTTTGGTATGTCTCCTCATTGAATAAGTGAATGACATACTATGGTTTCGGATGGACTTTAGGTATATGATTATAATACCATGATATAAGCGTGAGTCTCAGAGTCGTTGGTTAGGGTGCGTATATGCAGTGGATGCGTAGCTGGATTTAGTAGGTAGGTGTACCCTGTTAGGTCTAGGTACTCATGCCCACCTTTGGGTGCGTTTTCGCATGTTGCCTTCTATTCAGGTTGAGACCTCTACTATAGTCCAGTGAATGTCCTTAGTGTGGATATATATGTATATTTATGGATTACGTAGTTATATTGAGGGTATCTAGAGTGTATCTGCGTATCGGGCACTGTATGGATTACAGTTGGATTAGGACTTGCATGTGGGCCTGACCTACTTCTTTATTATTCTTTTCAGGTAACGGACGGTTCCAGTCTCAAGCTTGATCATGCTAAGCAGGGACTCTTATTCATTCTACCGACGATGTAGGATTTCACTTCATGATTTAGTTTTGGAATATCTTTATTTTCAGTTTCAGTTGGAGTTTTATTCCGGGGTCCACTAGTTGGATTCCCAAGTTGTAAACTGATGGAGTTTGGGTTTGATAGATTTTAATAATTATAATATTTTGCGGATTCTATTTTTAGTTCCTTTCAGCTTTACTTTCATTTCTTAATTCATTTTTGGTATTCCGTGTTCATTATAAAATATTAATTGTTTGATATCCCTAGGGTTTGGGCCTGGGCCTGATCAACCCGTGTCTCGGATCTGAGGGGTATCATATAAACCAAGGTCTGGACTAATACTATATGAGATTTAGGACCCTTAAGTTCAATTTAAAGGAAGAACAGAGGGGTTGGAATTGCCGAAAATGGAGCAGATGGGCTGAAACGGACTGAAATTGGACTGGAGGCTCTCAGAGGAGGAGAGAGCCGGCTCCATGGAAATGGGAGCCGGCTCCCATACTCTTAGAGCCGGCTCCAAGCACCTAAGAGCCTGATCCCAAAGTTAGGGAGCAGGTTCTCTCAATTTTTCACTTTTCTGAATTTTTTTTACGTACTGTTGGACACTGTTGAGGGGTTGAACTATTCTGTTTAATTATGGGACTTCACAGAGGGCTTATGTAGTTAATCTTGGGTGTTATTAAGGCCTCAAATTGATTAAAGTTTACCTCTTAGTTAATGGGACGAATAGTACAAAATTAATGCACTTTTTATGCTGTTAACGGATAGAAGACAAATTGATTGCTTAACTAAATTTTAGTAATTTAATGGGATATGGTATGATTATAAAACATATTTTAAATGCATGATAGGGTCATCTATTTATTGGTTTTGATCTATGCATGCTCTGGATATTAATTGTTGAAATATTAAATTTTTTTCTACAATTACATGGATTGCCGTTTAGATTTTAATTGCTGAAATATTAGACATTCTTCTGCAATTATTTGGATAATGGTTTTGAACTGTAAATTACTAAACTATTATTTATGTGTTGTAATTTACATGGATATGGAGGATTGTATGGACCGGTATGGGACGGTGGCATACTAGGGATGGTTTAGCTCAAAACGCTAAGACTTAACCTATTGGATTAAAGGAAAGAATTGTAAAGTATTGAATCCTAAATTTATTTAAGTCGGATCGATTGAGTAAGTTGAGTGACTTTTCTGGATTAATTGTGGTTTGTGGTTAAGTCAGATCGACTGAGTAAGTTGAATGACTACCTGGATTTATTGTTATTCGCGGTTAAGTCAGATCAACTGAGTAAGTTGAGTGGCTAACCGGATTAGGAGTCTTATGTCAGATCAACAAAGAATTGAATGACATACTCTGGTTTTGGACGGACTTTATATATATGATTATGGTACTACAATATGAGTTTGAGTCTCAGAGTCGATGGTTAGGGCGCGTATATATAGTGGATGTGTAGCTGGCTATGATAGGTTGAGGTATACCTTGTTAGGCTTAGGTACTCATGCCCACTTAGGTGCGTTTTACATGTTGCCTTCTATTTAGGTTGAAACCCCATATATAGTCCAGTGAATGTCCCTTAGTGTGGATATATATATGTATGGTCTAGATAGCTA